TTCTGAAAAGCCTTTTTTGGTCTTCCTTAATATTAGTTCCCTCCCTGTCCTTTATATAGCTTGGTAATACATAGGTATTTGCATGTTGTCTCTCCCATTAGACTGTGAGCTCTTCATGGGCAGTGGCTGTTTTTTGCCTTTCTTTGTATCCCAAGTGCTTAGCACAGTGACAGGAAGCAGTAGGTGCTTAATGTATGTTTATTAACTGACTAGCAGTTAGTAGGTACTTAATAAATTCTTGTTGACTCAACCTTTATACACATATATGAAAGAAAGAAATAGTTTCCATGTTGTGTTTAGGGTTAGCTCTAGTAGAAGCTTCATTATATAAAACACGAAATCACAAGGAGAATGGTCTCCCAGTTTGATGTAGTGATTGTCATACATTCAGAGATACAGACACAAAGACACAGACTCAGAGGAATACAAAGAGAACTGCATAATAGATATTATCTGATAGCTTTTATCAATTCTCAAAAATAATCTAAGTGATCATTTCTGGTTTAGCATCAACATATAAAATGATGCAGATAAGAACAGAATTGCTTATTTTCAGGAAGTCCAAAGACCTTACTATAGGGTAGAGGGGGAAAAAAGGGCATAATATTTAATTTTTAAGACTCAGTAAATTTTTAAAAATATATTTGAAATGAAATATTTTTGTATTTCAAATCTTGAAATTTTCATATTTTGTATTTTGAAATTGAAAATAATTAATTGAAAAATATTTTAAATATTTCATAAATATATAGCATACATAAAGTAGTAATGAAAGTACTACTATACTATTTGTAGTATAATTTGAGATTCAATACTACTATTCCTTCCCACTTTTTAAAAAATTTCCCTTAAGATTCTTGACTTTTTGCTCTTCCCCATGAATCTCATTACTACTTTTTCTACTTCTATAGAGTAATTCTTTGGCAGATTGATATGGTGCTGAATAAGTAAATTATTTGAGATAGTATTGTCATTCTTATCATATTGGCTCAGCCTACTCATGAACAATTTACATTTCTCTAATGATTTTATTTCTACAAGAACATTTTGTAATTGAATTCATACAGGTTTTGTGTGTGTCTTGGTAGGTAGACTCCCAAGTATTTTATAAGTTCTATATTATTTTCCATGGAATTTCTCTTTTTATGTCCTTCTGCTGAATTTTATTGCCAAAATAGAGAAATGCTGATAACATGTGGATTTATTTTATCTCCTGCAACTTTGCTCAAGTTGCCGTTTATCAGTTGCCAAATCTCAAACAAACTTTAATGGGGGCATTAATATACTGTTGGTGGAGTTGTGAACTGATTCAACCATTCTGGAGAGCAATTTGGAACTATGCCCAAAGAGCTATAAAACCATGCATACCCTTTGACCTAGCAATACCACTACTAGGTCTGTACCACAACAGGGATAAAAAAAAAAAAAAGGAAAAGGACCTATATATGGAAACCTATATATGGAAAAGGACCCACATGTACAAAAATATTTATAGCAGCTCTTTTTGTGGTGACAAAGAATTGGAAATTAAGAGGATGCCTATCAGTTGGGGAATGGCTGAGCAAGTTGTGGTATATGAATGTAATTGAATACTATTGTGCTATAAGAAATGATGAGCAGGCAGACTTCAGAAAAACCTGGAAAGACTTGTATGGTCTGATGCTGAGTGAAGTGAGCAGAACCAGGAGAACATTGTACACAGTAACAGCCACATTGTGCCATGACTAATATTGATAAACTTTTCAGCAACACAAGGATCTAAGACATCTCCAAAGGCCTCATGATGAAAAATGCTATCCACATCCAAAGAAAGAACTATGGAGTTTGAATGCAGATCGAAGCAACTATTTGCTATCTTTTTTTTCTTCTGTTGTGTTTTGCTTCCTCTTTCTGGTGGTTTCTCCTATTAGTTCTAACTCTTACTTACAACATCACTAATGTGAAAATATGTTTAATAGGAATGTATATGTATAGCCTATATCAGATTGAGTGCCATCTTTGGGAGGGAGGTGGGGAGGGAAGGGGAGAAAAATTTAAAACTCAAAAGTTAATGGAAGTGATGGTTGATAATTCAAAATAAATTAATTTTAAAAAACAAAAAGAAAAAGGACTTATATGTGCAAAAATATTTATAGCACCTCTTTTCTTGTGGCAAAGAATTGGAAATTGAGGAGATGCCCATCAATTACTGAATGGCTGAACAAGTTGTGGTATGTGATTGTGATGGAATATTACTGTGCTATGGGAAATGATGATCAAAATGCTCTCAGAAAAGCCTGGAAAGACTTGCATGAGCTGATACAAAGTGAAATGTACTGTGTACAAAATAATAGCAATATTGTAAGATGATCAGCTGTGCATGACTTAGCCATTCTTGAAATACAATGATCCCAGACAGCTCTGAAGAACTTTTGATAAAAAATACTATCTACCTCCAGAGAAAGAATTAATGGTGTCTGAATACAGATTGAAGCATACTTTTTTAAAACTTTATTTTTCTTGAGGTTTTTTTTTGGCCTATGTTTTCTTTCACAATTATGGAAATGTTTTGCATGACTACACATGTATAACCTATATCAAATTGCTTGCCTTCTCAATGAGGGGTGTGGGGAAGGGAAGAAGGGAGAGAATTTGGAACTCAAAGTTTTAAAAATGAATGTTAAAAATTATTTTTACATGTGACTGGGGGAACATAAAATACTAAATTAACATAAAAATAAACAAACAGCTATAGTTTCTTGTTCTTCCATTCTCAGAATAGCTTTTGGTCCTTGTTTACCTTTTTTTTTTTCTACCCTCCTGTCAGCACATAAGGAATAAACCATAATCTGGAATTTGTGACCTTAGTCACTCAGCTTCTACCTTGCTTATGGTTTGAAGCCCTGACTTTTGCTTCTGCTCTACAAAACACACATTGTTCACCACCTTCCTCTGGCTATACAGGGAGCCACTTTTCCTGAAGCATCATCAGTTAGCTTGGTCATTGAGCACACCAGGTACTTCTATTAGAGACCTTTCTGGCCTAAAGTCCCAGCACCGAGTCTGTGCATGGATTTCTTCTGCTCGATTGAGTCCAGCACTGTTCTTTCTGGTCTGCACTCCTGACCCTCTGGACTTTCTCCACCGAGCCACTACAGCCTCCTCACCCCACAAGTTCACTCTGCCCCTTTGGACCCTTCCCTTGGTTGGTTGATTCCTCTCAGCACCTCCCTTTTAAGGAAAGTGCCCAGGCCAGTCATGTCTTCATTTCTCTCCTGGCTCCACTCCTGACTCTGTGTAAATTCTCTGCTATGCCCCTGTGGGGTTATCTCCACTCTTTCCCTCTTTTCAGCTCCCTTTTATGTCTCCTCTCATTAGAAAGTAAGCTCCTTGAAGACAGGGACTCTGTGTGTGTATCCTTGGCATTGAGCCAAGTGCCTGGCACATAGTAAACCCTTAAATGCTTATGACTTGACTTGGGTTCAAACCTCACCTTTAAATTTTACCACCTTTGTGACCTTGGACAAGCCACTTAACCCACCTGGACCTCAGTTTCCTCCTCTGTAGAATGTGGGAGTTGGACTATGTGGCCTCTGTGATTTTTTTGCAGGCTCTAAATTTATAGGCCTATGAATTATGTATTCCGAAAGATGAGCTCTACTAGTTATCATCTGTTATAATCTAGATGAAATTTGGAAGAAATTCTTCATCCACTTGATTTTTCCTCTGTGGATGGTCAGGCTAAATTTTTTTTCAGTAATCACAGGTCTCAGACCCACTTTGACACCTAATGCAACCTTCCTGATGTCATCCACGGACCAGAGTGTCTGAAAGACCACACCATCCTTGAACCACCTAGAGAGATTTTGGCAGCTGAAGCATGTAGTAGAGGAAGTGGGAGATCCAGAGGCAAATTCTTACTGTCCCACCTAGTTCTGGCTCTAGGTTCAGCCAATGGAGGAGTGGTCCTCCCCTGGACCATGACATTGCCTGGATAGCAAAGAAACATGCAGATCCTCTTTCTTGCCACATGCCTTTCTCACCTCCTTTTCCAGTCAGGCATCTTTCTTTTCCTAGGCACTACTCCTACCTAGTTCTTCACTGGTGATAGGTGACACCTTCCTCACGGCCACTGTGGGCCTCCCCGTTACCTTTTGGGGGATGCTCAGCTTTCATTCTTCCCCAGTTGCCTTATTCCATTGACACAAATCAGTCAAGCTCCATCAACTTTGCATACCTGTCAAAAGAATTTTATTTCCCCTTTTTTTTTGTTCAGTGGGATAGAGAGGGATGAGTGGAAAGAAGAGAAAATAAATGCTTGTTAAATAAATAAATTATACCGACAGCTGAAAATGAGATGATAAAAACAAAGATGACAACAATATGGGTATTACTGTGTTTCTAGTGGGCTTAAAATTAATAACGGGAGTTTACAGACACAGGTACAGTCATTTACCACCTCTTGGTGATTTTCTTTAGTATACTGTACTTTTTTCTCATTTTCTTTCCTATATCCTATTGTGAATCTTTGACTACCCGCAGGTGTTAAAAATAAAACTGAATGTTAAAACGACCGGAAAGGTGAGATGGGGCCAGGCTGTGACGGGCTTTGAACGCCGAACATCCTGGAGGTAAAACAGGGAGCCACAGGAGCTGATGGAGCGGGGGAGACCCGGCCAGACCTTCGCTCTGCCTGGGAGGATCACCAGGGCAGCAGAGGGGGATGGGCAGAAGGGGAGAGGGAATGCGGACAGGGCTGCGCAGTCCGCCGCGGGGAGGAGGAGCAGAAAGGCAGGGGCTCCTCCCCGAGGATGCTCTCCGACACCGCCCGCCCCCGCCCCCTCCTCCGGGAGATACAGGACCAAACCACTCGGGGGTGGGGACGGGGGAGGAACCGTCCCGCTCTCGCTCTCGCTCTCAAACAGCCTTCCCGGACCTGGGAGGAGTCCCTGCCCGGCAACTGGTGACGTCACGAGAGCTCCTGGGCCAACCGGGAGAGCCTCCTCCGCCGGTCCCGCCCCCTCCGCAGTGACGTCACACGCCGGCGCCCGGGATTCGAGCGCGGGAGCGGGAGCTGCGCCGCCATGGACCCCGCTAGCCTGGCGCAGGAGGTGGGGCGCTGGGCGGCCCGAGAGATGGGCTGCCCGGCCGCCCTGTTGCCCCCCGAGCCTGCGCTGCGCAGGTGAGAGCCGCCCCTCCCCCGGCAGCGTAGGCCCCCCACACAGCGTCGACCCTTCTCCTCCCCCACCCTGTGCGGACCCTCCCCTAGCATCCCCGCCCCCGTATGGACCCCCCCCAGCGTCCCCTCCGCCCGCAGCGTGTACCCTCCCCTACAGCACTGCCCCACCCTCGGCATCTGGACCCTCTTTCATGCCCTCCCCCCCCAGCAGCCCGGACCCCACCCCCCCTCCCATCAGCACTACCCCTCGAAGAATCTCTGACCTCAGTGGGGTCCAACCCCCCCCCGGGCAGGAATCCCCCCTCTACTTCGCCCTGGGGGAACCCCCTCTACTTCACACCTGTCCCAGCCTTGATTTGATGGGGAGCTCACTACCTCCTGAGGCAGCCCACCCCTCTTTGGCCAAGCTCTGGTTGTCGGGGAGCTTTTGCTGGTCTCTAGCCCGAATCTGCGCCTTTGCAGCCTCCAGCCCTCGCTCCTGGTTCTGCTTCCCAGAGCGACTTTAAGCCTTCATCCACCTGGCACCCCTTCACATACTGGGGGGACAGCTGCCTTGCTCCCCTCTAATCCTCCCCTTCTCCTGGCTAAACATTCCCATTTCCTTCAATTCAAAGAATCCCCCCTCCCACTGCTCCTGCCCTCCCTCTGGGTAGACTTTTTACTGCGGCTGTCACGTAGCAGCAGCCGCCTCTTAATAAATGGCTTGTCGATTGTTTGAAACGGAACTGTATTTAAACTGCTCTGCCACCCTTAAGAGGGCTGTGTAAATTCAATAAACATGAAGCATCTTCTATATTCATTACTGTGCTCGGCAGCAGGAAGGAAAATAATCCTCGCCTTCAATAAATGTTGGTGAATTGAATTCTATTGTGGGGTGGAGGGGTGGTGGTGGGGAAAATTGCAACAAATAAATAGTCTTTTACCATTCTGGAAGTACTCCAGCTTCTCAGGCTCCTTAAAATGAGGTTTAATAATGTTCCGTTTGCGGTCTGAGCAGGGCAGAGCAGAGCAGGACCCATCACTTCCCTGGTTAAAGGCATTATTTCTCTTTCTTGATACAGCCTAAGGTTGAATTTGCCTGTTTTTCCTGTTGTTATTGCTTCTTGCCCTTTCAGCCCAATAAAACCTTCCAGCCATTTTTCAGACAAACTGCTTTCTAGCCTAGTCATCTCATCGTGTTAACCATGAAGTTAAGTTTTTGGACCCAGGAGACTAGGGTTCAAGTTTTCCTTCTGACTTTTACTAGTTGTGTAATCATTGAGGAGAGCTGTAAGGGACCTTAGAAGCTGTCTCATCTAACCCCCTTGTTTTACAAACCTCTTTGTACTGGGCAGGATGTTTGGATCCTGACTTTGTCATCCATCATGTTGGGCATTCCTGCTAACTTTGGGTCATCTGCAGACTGGATAATCGAGCCATTAATTTATCTAAGCTCAAGGATGGATCCCGGAAACACTAAACAAGGACCTCCTTCCAAGTTCATTGGAATGGAACTTAAAAGTCATCTAGCTGACCTCTTCATCTGTAAGATGAAGAATGAGTGATATTGAACCATTAATAATTGTTCTTTAGGTCTAATCATTCAGCCATTTTGAAATCCACCAAAATGTGACATTGTCCAGCCCTGGACCTTGATTACAAGAACAGCATGACAGGTTTTAGTCAATGCTTTACTGAAATCTAGGTAAAATATATCCACTGCAGTCTCCTGGTCAGACAGCTGGGCAACCTTGTCAGAAAAGTAAACAGTCATTCTCACCTGATCTATTCTTGATGGAGCCATGTTGGCTTTCAATGCAACTTACTTCCTTCCCATTCGCAGTGTTAATAAGCCTTGCCTTTAACCATACTTTCTGGAATTTTCAGACTCCATTCTTGTCCCTTTTATGAAAATAGAGGTGTTTTCCCTTTTCCAGCCCAACAGCAGTCTTTCCCAGATCAGTGATACCAGCTCATCCATCCCATTCACCAATTCTGTAACCACCCTGACGAGTAATCCAGATGAGATCCAGGCTTTCTCACTGGCTACTTCCCTGTCTCAGGAATCAATTCTTTATTAATCTTTTTTGTTCTGTCCTTTCTAGTCCAAAGGTCATTTTCTTTGGCAAAAAAAAGCAGCAAATTAAGAGTTAAATAATTCTACCGCCTCTCCATTGCCCGTATTTATTATCCCATCCCTCCAAGCAATGGGCCCTATTCTTTCTTAGAGCCTCCTGTCTCCAAAATAGTGTTTAAAAAAAGAAAACCAAATGTTGTCCTTAGCCTTCTTCACCAGGTGTACTTTCCCCAATAGAATTTCAGGCTCCAAACCTTATAGCCTATGTAACTCTGAAATCTGTTCTCCCCAAATGGAGCACCTGTTAGATTTGGTGATTGAGGAGAGGAAGGTCGGGCAGTCTAAGACAGAGTAGTTATTTATCCCCCAAGCTTCCCATAACTTCCTCCTTGATAAGGATAATTAGATCCAGAATTAGCAGTTTGTAGCTTCCTCTATTGTTCTGAAGGACAAATTTCTCATTAAGGCAAACCTCTCCCTGGTAACTATGTCAGGGCTCTGTGCCAGACTCATGAGCTGTTTCCTGTCTAGGTCAGTCAGTACTTTTTAGGCATATACTCTGTGCCAGGCACTGTGTTAAGTGCTGAATGCCCTGCCTGTAGGAGACTTTGTTTCTCTGGTGGTCTACACCCCAGATGCTATCCACCATCCCCTCTAGATCTCTGGTTTCTTCCCATAAATAAGACTGCATTATAAAGTGCTGTTTCCAGCCCAGCCCAAGTGCTTTTTCTCATCTGTTCCTTTTGAATAAGCCTTATGCTAGTCATTGGCCCCATCTCGTCTCAGCTTTGGGGGCAGCTAGGTGGCACAGTGGATAGATCACCAGTCCTGGAGTCAGGAGGACTTGAGTTCAAATCCAGCCTCAGATACTAGCTGTGTGACCCTGGACAAGTCACTTAACCATGATTGCCTAAAAAAAAAATTAGATGTCTCTTCAGCTTGGGATCTTGACTCGACCTTGCTTGTCACTCATACCTTTTCAGCCCCTCAGTCTCTTCCCATCAGCCCCTCAGTCTCCCCAGATGCTTTTCTTTTCTGCCTCATGACTTCTCTGTCCACCACACATCCTCAGAATGTGCATGGGCCCCATGGCTGATGTCTGGACCTTTCTGACGCAGAAGATCCATAACCAGAGGTGAGACACAGTTGGAGAAGGGGTGGGTTAGGGAGGGCTCCCTCTTCGGGAGAGGAAAGTCTCATTCAGTCTCGCCCTTTATATTCTGTGCTCCTCTGCAGGACCGTAAAGAAGATTCGTGGCAACCTTTTGTGGTATCTTCCAGACCCAGCTTCCCACCTGGCCCTGGACTCCCCGAGCCTCTGTCCTGGCAGCCCCTGGAGAGGGGAGGGGGAGGGAGCCTTTGGGTGAAGGGGTCAGGAGCCAGCCTCTGCAGTGGAATTGGGGAGGCTGGTAGGCCTCAGGTGGTCCTCCAGATGAACTCTTGCTTAACAGGGTGCTCCCCTTCATTCCTTGGGGTTTGCCAGTTAGGCTCCTGCCCCACTCCAGACTGATCTTTCCTCTGGCCAGAGGTTGTCTCTGTTTGCCCTCCTGTGGTCAGTCGTTCCGCAGTCCCCCCTTTATTCGACCCCTGCTTTGTCTCTGCCCTTGTCCTGTGTCCCCTGCCCCGCCCCCCCCAGCACATCCCTATTCGATTCCTTAACCCCATAATTTCTTGTAGGTACAGCCACCAGGAAAGCCCAGAGGTGAGAGGACAGGGTGCCTAGGCCTGGGCTGGGTGCCACCTTGAGGGGAGGAGGGAAGGGGGCGGACAAGTCCACTGCCCTTTCCCTCTTCTACAGGGACCAATTCAATTTAGCAAGCATTGATTAAGTACTTACTATGTGCCGGGTGGCTAGAGTCATCAGACAGCACACTAGTGAATAAAGACAATGCGTGCAGAGCTATACAAACCCTGGACAAAACCTAGGACCAGAGGGGGAGGGGGAGGGGGAGGGGCAGCCCCAGCCCCTGATGGCCCTTGCTTAGCAGGCTGGCCGGAGGCGAGAGCTGGAGGCAGCTCTGATGAGGGTACAGGCAGAGATTGGAGAAATGGACCTGAGCCTGGAGCTGGCTGAGCGAGAGGCGGTAGCCCAGGGTAAGTGACCGTGTGGGGCCTTGGGAAGGTCTGGGAAGGGGAGAGGGTCCTTAGGATTCATTACCTGCCTGGTGACACTGCTTCTCCTACAGACGTGGCCCAGGAGCTCACCCTGAAGCAGATCCGGGATGCCCAGGGCAAGGCTTTGCTCTTCCGGGCACGAGCAGCGGCTGCCCGGCGGCAGCATCGATGCCTTAAAGACCGGACCCAGCGGCTCCAAGGCCAGCTCAGCCACCTGCAGGACGTGGAAAGGTGGGCCCTGTCCCCTCAGCCCCAACCCCAGGGATCTGAAGCCCCAAGTCTTTGCTACTTCTAGAAAACAAAAAGTGACAGAAACCTCCTCTCTCCGCCAGGAAAGCCAAAGCAGATGTGGCCTTTGGGCCTCCAACAGCCATGCTCTTGGGCCTAGAGCCAGATGTGCTGGTGAGTGTCCTCAGAATCGGGGTGGGGGCACCCCCAGGGCTCCCGGGCAGGAGCCTCCCTCACTCTCGCTCACTCTCTCTCTAGCAAGAGGTCATGCGGGTCTGTAGCCTGCGCACCCAGTTCCTCCAGGCTCTGCTGACCCCTCATTCCGATCCAAGGACTTTGTGAGTTACCTCCTGCCTTCCCCCTTCCCAAGCCCTAGAGGTGGCCTATGTGTAGCGTCATCTCCCTTCCTCTGAACACCCTCTCCCCTCAGGACCACCCAGGACGACCTGTTTGCCACCACCCACAGGCAGTGGTTCAGTGAAGTGGAGGTGAGCAGGACGCTGGGGGCCTGGGGAGCCAGGACTGGAGAGACGTTCCTGCCCCAGGGAGGTCTGAGCCCCTTGATCTCTACTTCCCCCGACCAGGTCCTGATGGCTTCCCACCCTCCCGCACACATCCTGGGGGCACTGGAGCACCTGGCTTCGAGGCAGACTGCCGAGCTGCAGATGCTCACTGCTCAGTGGGACGGGGACTCGCAGAGGTAGGAGCCCCGGTGGAGGGAGGGGATGAGGGGCGAAGGCTCCCTCCGGGCACCTGATTCTCCTTGTGATTGAATAGGCTGCAGCTGGAAGATGTGTCGGAGTCCCCAGCCCTGCCTTCTGTGACCTCCCTTATCCAGGTAACAGCTGACCAGCAAGGAGGGAGGTTAGGCCAAGTGGCAGCTTTGTTTCCCCATCCAGGCAAGGAGGGCTTCTGGACTAGTGGGCCCTGGATTCCTTGGGACTTCCCTAACTGTGGAATCTTCTTCCCTCTTCTCTACCCCCAGGAAGGCTGGCGGGCCGTAGGGATGCTGACTTCGAAGCGTGGCCCTCTCCTGCAGCAAGGTCAAGTGCTGGCCGAGAGACTCCAGGGCCTAATGAAGGAAGTGGCTCAGAGAGTGACGGGGCCCCAGGAGGCTCGGTGAGATGAGTGCCGTGTATGTGTGTGTGTGCACGCATGCATCTGTCTGTCTGGGTGTGTATCTGTGTCTGTGTGTGTCTGTCTGTCTGGGTGTGCGTCTGTCCGTCTGGGTGTGCATCTGGGTGTGCGTCTGTGTGTGGGTATGCATCTGTCTCTGTCTGGGTGTGCGTCTGTGTCTGGGTGTGCATCTGTCTGTCTGTCTGGGTGTGTGTCTGTGTCTGGGTGTCTAGTTCTCGTCCCCAGGTCTCTGGGTCCCTAACCTCATGTGCTTCTTCCCTCTCTCCCTCCTTCAGCCAAGCCTTGTCCCTGGGGCTGCAGGTGGCCGCGCTCCAGGCCACCCGTAACTCGCTGCGAGCTCAGTGCCGGAGCCTGAAGGAGGAGGCCGGGCGGAGGCAGCAGGAGCTTTGGGAGCTCCAGGCCAAACGGCAGCGCATTGTGAGCTGGCGGCAGCGAGTGGTGAGCAGACGTGGCCTGGCTGGGAGGTGACAGGTCGTGCCCCCTTTCACCCCCGTCTTCTTAACCCTGGGTGTATCCCTAGGAGGAGACCCAGGAACGGATCCGGGTGCTGATCAAGGGGAATTCTGTCAGCAAGAGTCACCTTCAGAAGAGCCCAGGAGAGGTGAGAGGCTGCAGGCCCAGGGCTCGGGGTCCTGAGGTCCCAGGGAAGAGGGGCAGGTCTGGCTAGGGCGTCCTGAGGAGGCAGGGGATGAGGGACTTGGCCCGCAGTCCTTGGGCCTGAACGGGCCAGGGTGGCTGGGTCCGGGAATCTGCCTTTCTGACGCTTCATTTTCTGCCTGTCTAGGTGCAAGCCTTGGTCCGAAGGAAAGTGGTTCCGGCTGTGGGAGCTGTGGGGCTGCAGGCCCAGAACCTCCTGGGCAGACTGGAGGAGGAAGCCCAGTGGCTGCCGGGCCTGGAGCTGCACCCGCTGCTGCGGCGCCATCCAGGGGGGTGAGAGCTCGTCTCAGAAGATCTTCCCCTCTCCCTCCTCCCTCCCCATTGCTGATCCCTGGGCTCAGAGGTTTCTCCTGTGACCCCGGCACGTCCCTGACCTCCACACCTGTCTCGATACCTCCCCCTCCAGGCCACAGCCCCTTCCAGCCGTCCTCCCCTCTGTCTACTCTCTGCATCCGGCGTGTCCTGGATCCCAGAACCTCCTCCACCTGAGCCAGGACCTGGGGCTGCCCGCAGGCAAGGTGAGTCCAGCCTCGCCCCCATCCCCACTGCCCACGTTAGCCCTGGCACCTTCCCAGCCTCACTGAGCCTCTCCTCCCCAGGCCCCGGAATTCCTCTTGCACCAGGCAGTCTCCTTGCGCCAGGATTGGCTGTTTCTGCGGGACCAGCTGAGTCACAGGCGTGGCATGCTGATGCGCCTGCAGAGGGACCTGCCCCCAGGACCATCCCCCCAGGGTGAGAGGCGCAGGCACGAGGGAAGGTTGCCAGGCGCTGGCCCAGGGAAGCGCCCCGTGCCGGGCAGAGCCCTGCCTGCCTCAGGGCTCTTCCCTGTCCAGTCCGCCCTCAGCTTGTCCAAGGGCACAGATCAGGTCGGACCCTTCTTCTGTTCAGCAGCCTTTAGCAGCTGCCTGTTGTCCACAGTCCATGCAGCAAACATTCATGAGTCCCCTTGTGCATGAGGCACAAAGCCTAGATACGGCCTAGATTCTACTCTCGAGGAGCTACAGGTAATGAGGCTCCATGGGCAGAGGAGAGGCAAGTACAGGCCAGTAAAATGGTCAGAGCAGGTGGGGAGGAAACCCCCGGGAGACCGTGCTGGAATTAGGCCTCAGAGGCAGTGCTAGGAGGTGTCAGGGAAGAGTCTGGCCCATGGAGGGGGGAGAAAGCCCAAGGAGCCCCAAGGGGTGGGCTGGCTGCACCACTCAGGAGCTGCTGCCTATGTGAAATGCAGAGAGGTGGGGAGGGGGTAACACTAAGAGAGTATGGAGATGGAATCAGCACTGGGCAGCTGATGGGAGAGGGGTAATGAGGAAGAGCAAAGAGGCAGGGGCGGCTTCCAAGATGGCGGGATGCAGTAGGAACTCCTTAGCCTGGAATTCAGAGTCCTCCATGCTCTGGCCTCTGCTGGCGTATCACTGGAGTAGGATGACCAGAGACTGGTCCCATATCAGGTTTATGTGGCCTGTGACGTGCCTCTGGAGATGATGTCAGGTATCAGAAGGACTTGTGGAGAAGTTGTCTGGCACATCTTACTGCCTAGACTTTGTATCTAGATGCTGGAGGCCGTGGTTGGTACTCATGGCTCCCCTCTGGAGTTTCATTCCCAGGGAACTGTTCAGTGTTTCATTCAGTTGGGGAGTGACTCTTCTTTTTATAAATTTGTATCCATTCCACATACATTTGAGAAATGAGAATGTGATAGAGAAGCTTGCTATAATGTTATCTCCCCGTTTCCTGCTTTTCTTCTAATTTGGGCTGCATTGGTTTTGTTTGTGTGAAACCTTTTTAATTTAGTATAACCAAAATTAGCCATTTTACCTGTCATGATCTTCTCACTGTCCTGTTTGATCATGAATTCTCCCCTTATCCACAGATCTGTCAGGTAAAATTCTCCGTGCTTCCCTGATTTGCTTGTGATGTCACCTTTTATGTCTCATTTATGTACTCATTTTGGGCTTATCTTGATATGTATGGTGTCAGATATTGGTCTGTGCCTAGTTTCTGCCAGACTGCTTTCCAGTTTTCCCAGCAATTTTTGTCAGATCGTGAGTTCTCGCCCCAGTAGCCTAGGTCTTTGGGTTTTTCAAACACTAGATCACTGTGGTCGTTTACCTCTGCGTATTATGTGCCTAATCTGTTTCATTGATCAGCCACTCGATTCCTTAGCCAGCACCAGATTGTTTTGCTGTTTACTGCTTTGTGACATAGTTTGAAACCTGGGACTGCTAGGTTGTATTGCTTCACTTTTTTTTTTCACTGAATCCCTTGACATTCTTAACCTTTAATTCCTCAAGATGAATTTTGTTATTATTTTATCTAGCTCTTTAAAATAACTCTTGGATTGTTTGATTGGTAAGGCACTGAATAACTAAATTATTTTAGGTAGTATTACAATTTTTATTACATTGGCTCAGAATGAGGGATTAATATTTCTCCAATTATTTAGATGTCTTTATGTGAAGTGTTTTGTAATTGTGTTCATGTAGTTCTCTGTGTGTCTTGGCAGGTTGACTCCCAAGTATTTTATACTGTCTGCAATTATTTTAAATGGAATTTCTCTTTTTATTTCTTCCTGATGAATTTTATGGTAGTATCTAAAAATGTTGGTGATTTGTATGGGTTTATTTTACATTCTGCACCTTTGCTAAAGTTGTTAAATGTTTCTAGCCTTTTAGTTGATTCTCTAGGGTTCTCTATACCAGGAATTCTTTTTTGTTTTTATCTATCTATCTATCTGTCTATCCATCTATCTACCTATCTATCTATTTGTTTTCAGCATGTGCTTTTATAAGATTTTGAGTTCCGTGTCCAATCATATTAAACATAGCTCCACATTAGTCATGTTGTGAAAGATCAGAACAAAACAGAAAAACCACAAGAAAGAAAAAAAAGGGAGAAAATAGTATGCTTCAATATGCATTCAGACTCCATAATTTTTTCTCTGGATATGGATAGCATATACCAGGACTTATTAAACTTTTTCTACTTGCAAACCCTTCAGCACTTCTTAAATTGTGAGTCCCACAATTTACAATTTAAGAAGCACAGCTGTACCAGCATATCATCTGCAAAAAGTGATGGTTGTGTTTCCTCATTGCTATTCTTATTCCTTTCATTTCTTTTTCTTGTCTTATTTCTATAGCTAGCTTTTCCCATGCACTACTGAATAATAATGGTGACTGTGGGCATCTTTACTGCACCTTTGATCTTATTGGAAAGGCTTCTAGTTTATCCCCATTTCAGATAAGGTTTGCTCTTGATTTTAGATAGATATAACTTAACACTTCCCAAGAAGTTCCATTTATTCCTCTGCTTTCTAGTGTTTTTAATAGGAATGAGTGTTTTATTTTGTTAAAAGCATTTTCTGCATCTACTGATATGATTTTTTTTGTTTTTGTCATTAATATGGTCATTTATGCTGATAGTTTTCCTAATATTGAACCAGCCCTACATTCCTGACATAAACTCCATCTGAGCATAGTATATGATCTTTGTGATATATTGTTGTAATTTCCTTTCTAGTATTTTATTTAAAATTTTTGCATTAGTATTCATTAGGAAAATTGGTCTATACTTTTTCTTTTTGTCTCTCTCAGGTTTAGGTATTAAAATCTTGTTTGTATCATAGAAGGAATTTAGTAGGATTCCTTTAACTTTTTTTTAATAGTTTATATACCATTGGAATTAATTGTTCTTTAAATATTTAGTAGTGTTTGCTTGTAAATCCATCTAGTCCTAGGGGTTTTTTCTTAGGGAGCTAATTTATGGCTTGTTCCATTTCTTTTTTCTAAGATAGGATAATTTAAGTATTCTATTTCCTCTTCTATTAATCTGGCCAATTTATATTTTTGTGAACATCCTTCTATTTCATTTAGGTTGTCAGTTTTATTGGACAAAATAGCACCATTTTGGGGGATCTCTTTCAGGAGGTGATTGGTGGATTCTTTCAATTTCTACTTTGCCCTCTGGTTCTATGATATCTGCATATTTTTCCTTCATACTTTCTTGAAATATGATGTCTAGGCTCTTTTTTTAGATCATGGCTTTCAGCTAGTCCAATAATTGTTAAATCATCTCTCCTCTATCTACTTTCCATGTCACGTATTTTTCCAACAAGATATTTCATATTTTCTTCTATTTTTCAGTGTTTTGATTTTATTTTATTGTTTCTCGATATCTCATGGAGTCATTAGCTTCTACCTGACCTTACCCATATGCAACTGATATTTTTCCAGTTATTTAGATTTGACTTTATTTGTATGAAAAGTGTTTTGTAATTGTGTTCATATAGTTCCTGGGTTTGTCTTAGCAGGTAGACTCCCAAATATTTTATATTGTCTGCAGTTATTTTAAATGGAATTTCTCTTTTTATCTCTTGCTGCTGGGCTTTGTTAATAATATGTAGAAATGCCAATTATATATGTGGGTTTGTTTTATTTCCTGCAACTTTGCTAAAGTTGTGATTATTCCAAGTAGTTCCTTAGTTGATTCTCTAGGATTCTCTAAGTATACCAAAATATCATTTGCAAAGAGTGATCGTTTTGTTTCCTTATGCCTATTCTAATTCCTTCAATTTCCTTTTCTTCTCTTATCGCTAAAGCTAACATTTCTAGTACAATATTGAATAACAGTAGTGATCATGGACATCCTTGTTTCACCTCTGATCTTATTGGGAAAGCTTCTAGCTTATCCTCATTACATATAATGCTTGTTGATGGTTTGAGCTAGATGCTGCTTATCCTTTTAAGGAAAACTCCATTTTTCCTGTTCTCCAGTGTTTTTAATAGGAATGGTTGCTGTATTTTGGCAAAAGCTTTTTCTCCACCTGTTGAAATAATCATATGATTTCTTTTACTTTTGGTATTGATATGGTCAATCACGCTGATAGTTTGCCTCATACTGAACCAACCCTGCATCCCGGGTATAAATCCTACCTGATCATAGTGTATTATCCTCAAGATAAATTGTTGTAATCTCTTTGCTAATATTTTATTTAAAATTTTTGCATCTATATTCACTAGGGAAATTGATCTGTAATTTTCTTTCTGTGTTTTGACTCTTCCTGGTTTAGATATCAGCACCATATTTGTATCATGAAAAGAATTTGGTAGGACTGCTTCACCTATTTTTCCAAATAGTTTATATGGTATTGAAATTAATTGTTCATTAAATGTTTGTAGAATTCACTTGTAAATCCATCTGGCCCTGGAGATTTTTTCTTAGGAAGTTCATTGATGGCTTATTCAATTTCTTTTTCTGAAATTGAGTTATTTAAGTATTTTATTTCTTCTGTTAATTTGGGCAATTTATATTTTGTAAATATTCATCCATTTCACTTAGACTGTCAGATTTATTGGCATAGAGTTGGGCAAAATAGCTCCTAATTATTGTTTTAATTTCCTCTTCATTGGTGGTGATTTCATCCTTTTCATTTTTGATACTGGTAATCTGGTTTTCTTTTTTTTTTAATCAAATTAACCAAAGAGTTATCTATTTTATTATTGTTGTTGTTGTTGTTGTTTTTCATAAAATCAGCTCTTAGTTTTATTTATTAGTTCAATGGTTTTCTTAATTTCAATTGTATCAATCTCTCCTTTGATTTTCAGAATTTCTAATTTGATGTTTAATTGGGGATTTTTAATTTGTTCTTTTTCTAGCTTTTCTAGTTGGATGCCCAATTCATTGATCCCCTCCTTCTCTATTTTATTCATGTAAGCATTTAGAGATATAAAATT